CGGACCGTCGCAAGCGGGTGGCTATCAGGATCATCTCCTGAGGGATACGCGCGCGGGATTCGCTCCTTTTCCGCGTCGATATTAACGAAAGCAGGCAATTCGTGCGTTGTTAGTAATACGTTAGTATACAATTCGTAAATCCAGGACTGTGTTACAAAACGCTCATCGGAATAGATCTTCTCGAAGAAGCGTGTTTAGCTTACATCTAGAAAAAGGGAAGTATTATTTTCCTGGTATTACGTGGAATAAAAAAAAACGTGCGTGAAGCGACGTAGAGAGAAAAATCGAAATAATTCTATACTAACGTGAGACTCTCTGACACACGGTCTTCCCATACCTTTACAAATATTTACGATAACACGGTAGTTTGCGCGTGTGGACGTGTGCTACTTACATTGATGTTTGTCTGCTAGCATAACTAAGGTAGTCGGCAAATCCCTCCGCCTGAAGAAACACATGACTTTTGCTTCCACATTCCCGTTCGCGGTCTGGAAGAACCGAAAATGAAAAGATTAACGAATTTTTACCGTCGAATCTATCGCTGTAGCCTAGGTATTATGCATACATCTGCATTATTATGAGAATTTAAATACATTTAGATAGAAGAGACGAATATAAATAGCCGGTCGATCCTCATTATAATTTCTCGCTAAAATGCAACAGCGCCGCTCTTTCGATACCTTACCTTATTTAATTCTTCTATCCTCCTAATCTGATACGGCGACGAGGTGGCAGTCTCAAAATACACGTAATCTAAAAAAAAAATAGCAATTGTATCAACAATCTTGTAACGAGTAAAGAAAAAGAGAAAAGCTACAAACTATACATTATCCTTTAAATTATCGCGAAATCTACAAATTATACTTCTCCCTTTTGAAAAGCAAAGGGATTTTGATTACCTCGCGTCTAATATAATCGTCTTCTCTCGAAAATCTTATTCTTAATCTAAAATCAAATTAGAGATACGTTAGAAACACATGTTGTGTCAACGACGAGAAGAGAGAGGAATTGGAAAATCTTTCTCCGGAAAAATCTGTAGAGGCGGAAACGGAGGTAGAGATTTCGGCCGAAATGCACGCTGCCGTCGTTGCTGCCGGTGATACAAAATCGAAAAGCGAAGGAACGGTAGGGGACAGAGGTAGGGGAAGGGAAAGCGGTCATTATCGAGATCTAGTGCGCGGCACCTCGTGTACGACGCATCGATACAACGAATAGCGGCGACTTCGAGCGGTCAGGATCCAATTTTGATCCGCGAGATTTGTCGCGCAAGAAATTAGCGTGACCTGGACGTGAGAGAGAGAGCGAGAGAGAGAGGACGGTTGCGCGGGAGAGGAAGGTGGCAGATGAAGAGCAGGGGGGGGGGGGGAGGGGGACAGAGAAGAGAGACAGAAAGAAGAGAGTTACAGAGAGAAAAAGAGAGTGAAAGAGAGAGGAGGAAGAATGGAGAGTCGGACGGGCGAGGAGGGGGGGGGG